ACAGTTTTTCAGCTTGCAGAATGTGCTTTCAGATGATTCTAGCAATACTGAGCAGCGTACCACTTCCAGTATTAGTAGCAGAGGATTGGTTCACATTCTTTGATTGCCTGAGGAATAAATTAATGAGGTTACTGGAGACATTGAACATTTGCATATTCACGGATGCTTATTAGGTATAAAGTGAATGCCAGGTGCGTTGAATTTTGGGAATACTAGCCTTGGTTTTGGTCTTCTATTTTTAAAGCAATCACATCTTTTTTTTTTTCCCTAAAGTGGGAAGTTCTGTGAAAAAAAAAAAAAAAAAGCATTTGTAAAAATAATAACACCAAAAAAGAAAAATCAAATTAATTCAATACGGACAAAGCTTTGCTATAAGATATACATCAGACTAAATATGACACACCATGAGGCTGGGGACTATCTGTATATCTTGTTTGGAATAACAGTTAGGATGACTACAAATATAAAAACAGTTGTTCTAAGACATAAGGAGAACCAATGCTATATTTTGCACTGTGCTCCTTATGGATTTTCTAGCTTTAAATAGCAATAGGCAAACTCATTATGAAGTTACCTTCCATAATGCCCAATTCTTAATTTTAAAGCACCAATATTTGAACACATTTTGTTATACCAAGTCTCAAACTCAGCCTCCACAGCACAGAAGATAGAATTACAAAATTTGCTTGACTATTTCTCCAAGGAGTATCTGCACATGGTTGCATTGTTGTCAGTGACTTCCGTCATTGCTGTGTGAAAGCACATTGTGTGAATGATTTGCACTGTACCTCATTATTCCTGGAAGTTTTCATCTATATTGTATATTTGGGATCGTTATCCCCTTTGCATTCTTAAAGATTTTATGGTGTTGGGCTTTTTTGTTTTTTTCCTTTCCATTCTTTGGCTGTCCATATACTATGGAGCCCAGTATTAGCCCTGCTTGCTTTAGCAGAGAAATATCTGTCAATTGAAACCATGTGTATTTGTTCTGCCTTTTGCTTGTCTTTTACAGTGTAAGTATCAAGCGTGTACATGTGTACAGACTGCGGTTTTATATGCCCTGCACATAGATAAATACAAACACACGTGCCCACACAGATGTGCACCTACGAAATTATTGGTATCACCTAGTTCTAAGTAGCTGGTGTAACAAAATCAAGCAGTGATAAGTGTTTTCTTTGGATAATAATATGTATTTACAAACAGGCTCCCTTCTGCCCCCTTGTTTCACAGAATACTGTGTTCAACTTCCCTTTCCTGGATGTTGCACTGTGTTGATCACTGCCCTGCCTCTGCAAATCCTATTTGAAAATCTCATTTGCAGCATAACTGACAACAAAGGCATTACATGCTGTATGCCCTGCGTATTCTGCAGACTATTCCTTGCCTTTGTAAGTTATTTCTAACTTCTAATGAAAATACTGTGTGATCATTTGATGATCTTTTTTATTTATTAATAGTCTGTAAAATTAAGTGTGTCTAATCAAAGAATGGATCCTTTCTTAAAAGTGCAAGGTGGAATGCATTAGATCAGTGGTACAAAAAGCAGATGTTTTTTACTGCAGTAGGCCTTTCTTTGGGTACTCTAGGAAACAGGGACTTAAACAAAACAATAAACTGAAGAGAATTCTGAGGTGCAAATGCTGCCAGTCACTGCAAGGCACAGAAATCCTCTTTAGAGATGCATTTTCTCTGCATTTGTTTCTAAACTGTAATTCTGTTCTGTGATTAGAAAAAAAAAATAAGAAAAATGATTTGATATTTCAGGGCAGCTTCTGAATAATTACATGCAAAATGATCTACTATATGTTTATTGAATATAGTCTTGCGGAGACAAATGTGCATTTTATTCAGAAGGGTCATTTTTTAAAACACCCATTGTAGCTGCTTCACTAACGTCCAGGGGTTTTCGCCATGCACGCAGCACAGATTTTTTTGATTATGTAGATTTTTTTTTTCCCCTATTGCAGTTTCATATGCAAAGCATGCATCAGCCACATCCATGCTATCTCCTAAAGCAGTCATTCTGAAACCCAATCTGGGGACAGTGCAGACTAAATAAAATTTCATTTTGATTTGGCCTCCCGCTGAGAATGGGACTGCTTTGTTTCAGCCGACAGAACCAGCAAGCCAGAAAGGTATGTCCTGTTTTGCATGGCTGATGGTGTGACTTGAGGATCACAATCAGGCCGTTCATGCTCTCAGGGCTCGGCATCTCATCCACATCCTGTACCGTCTTTCTCTTTTCCTTGCCATTTGCTTTCCTTCTGTGCCGCCTGCCGTCTACCTGCAGGGCAAAGCTATGGCAGACCCTCACACTATTGTTTACTTTGGCATATGTTTAATAGCTGCATGGCTGTTTCAGGGTAGGGTTTTTTTCCTCTTTTTTTTTTTTTCCCCTCCCCACCCCCTGCCTTTGTTTTTTCCCTTCCCTATCCATGTTCACTTTCCTTATTTTCTAGGTGTTGAATACACAAATACTGAATTAACGGATAATTATGTAAGTACTGCTTGCAATGCTTCAGAGATTTTACTACGAGATTTGTAATGCAGAATTTTATTGTGAGTCTGAGGAAACATTTAACAGCTTTGAAGGACTTCAGTTTTCATAGCCCTTTAGAGCCGTTTAGGCAGAAAAGCAGACACACATTATAGTTAGGAGAGAAAAAAAAAAAACAACAAACCACTCTTAGGAAGGGGTCTGGCTGCTTTGCCATCTTCACATGCTTTATAGTTACAGCTGCAGTGTTTAGGGGAATATAAGTAAATATTTCTCTCTCTAAATATTAGTATTTATCTTAAAGCCAGTTTGCATTCCAGGAGAGCCTGTATAGCGTGCTCCTTGCTTCTGCTGCTGCCCCATCTTTCAAAGAAGGTGTTGGCATTTGGGGGAATGACCACTGTTTTAGCCTCTGGAGCAGTTTTTGGACAGGGCAGCAGGATGCCTGAAAGGCTCCTCATGATGCGAACTTACTCCTCAAAAGTGTATTTCTCTATGAAGCTGTGCTATTCCTTGTCTGTGAATTTATTTTTTTTTTTTTGGGGGGGGGGTGGGGCTGGAAGTTTTTCATGTGAAATAAAATTAGCATAAAATTTACCTCAGACAAAGGGCAAATTTTAATTTGGACTACTATGTATTTTGATATGGACAATGTCCTGTTTTCTTAGTGAGGTAGAATACAATTATAACTCCAAAGAAGAAAGCAGTCCTTAACAAAAACTCCCTAAAATATGTAGCATATTCTATGCAGCACTGACATTAAATGGGAATTAATGCCTTGGTTGTGATTTACAAACACAGAATTACTCTTTGTATGCAACATGCCTTTGTGGTTGGTGATATTAGTAACAGCAGGTTGTTCAGCAAGGTCTGATGGAATGTACACAATCAGTTGTAACACTCTCTGGTCTATTTAGCAAGTTTTGTTCCCAGCTTTTACTCCAACTCCACAACTCCCAGTGTTACTCCAACTCCATAACTTTCATCTTATAACCAGATTCATGTTTCACTTTCAGACTTGATGAGCTGGCCAAGGATACAGGCCCTTGGCATAACCATGTGGACCTTCACATGGCAGTGCTGTGACTTGAAACTTCACTTTCTTCCCACCTTCCATTATATTATTTTTTTAAAGTGGGGGTTGGGATACAAAGGCTCATCCACAAAAGTTTGGAGAAATTAAGAGGTAAAGATAAGATGGCCCACTGGCATCCCTGTAAGGAAGGATAGGCCAAATGTGAGTTTCAGCTGCTTGCTTTAACCTTGCCGAACTCCAAAAGGATTTTCTGCACATGGCGTAGCACAGGATCTGGTCCTGCGTGGTTTTTTCTTCAGAGATGTTTACATAGTGAAATGCAGCTTGAGAAGATTATAAAGAAGCTATCTATCTGTAGTGATGTCTCATTTTCTTGAACAAATTTGGGGCTGTAAGAAAACTACAAAGAGGCTTCATTTTTAAGAAACAAGAACTGTAGCTTTTTAAATGGATGCAGTGGGAAAATGCTCAGTTCTGGGTGTTATTTCCTCAATATCTCTAATCCTCCTGCTTCACCCCTCAGGTATCATTGGGATGTTTTCCAAATCACCAACTCTGCATTTTAATCAGAGTTTATAAAAATGAATTCCAACTTTATATTTGCCACGATTTCATTTTAACAGTTAAATATAAGTTGTAAGAGAAACTAAACTCTAGGTTTAGGCAGTGTATCCTAATTCCTTGATGTCAGAACTCAGTCCTAGCAGGCCTTTTTTTTGCACAAAAAAGTATTTTATATTACATCAATAGCTTCATTTTAAAAGAAATAATAATTAAATAAGAGGGTTAACATGGATCACTTGGAAATTGACAACATTTTTGTATAAAATGCGTAAGAAGAAAAATAGGAGTGTTATTTCTTTATTCCCAGGGATGAAGTATTTTTTAAAACAGTGGTGTTTGTTACAGTAAAGGAAAATAATTTTAGCTCCAGAATGCACTTACTGTTCTGGATACTTATTTTATTAATTACATAACCGTTGTTATTTAGCCAGGAATTAATGCAAACTTTATTCTGGTGCTCTTAGGAGATCAGTTCCTTTTTTAGATTGGTTTATTAGAGCTCTATTTTGTGGTCATATACTGGATCAGCAAAAGAAGTGAGTGGGTTTTGGAAGTTAGTTTTGCATATATCACTTCCACAGAAAGAAAACTACAAAAATATTAGCCCAAAGTCCAGAACAAAGACCTCATTCTTAGATAGTCTTATAAGGCTGCTCTCAGTGGACTTAGCAGTGTTCCTCGTTATTTATATTTGCGTGCTTAAGAAAGGAATCAAATCCAAAATCCCAACTCAGCTACCTCTAGCACACTGTAATTGCAAAAAGTTCCAATATACTTGGGCATGTAGCATATTTACTCGTATTTTTTAATGCAAAGGACTTAGTAATTCTCAGTTCTCTAACTTTTCTCTCACTTTTTGTGCTTTACGTGAATGAGGTGGCATGACCAAGATAAGTCATATCGATGCCCAGAATCCTATGGAGAAAATAGATCATGTAAAACAGATAATATATGGCCAACTGGTAACTAGACGAATGCACTCAGGAGACAAGTGTCTACTTGCAGTGATGCATATATGCACACTTCCATGTAAATTAGCTACATGGTGCCAGTGTATGTATGCATGCATCTATAAGTGTGTATGTGCACATATAGAAAAAGAGAGAGGAAGAGAGAGATGTAGGACATTGTCACCGGGGTTCTGGGGGCCCACCAATGGATGATACATGGGCAGATACTCTTACTGTGACCATAAGGAAGTTGAGAACCTTCATGGCTGGTGCATTTGCTGATCTCCAACCCATCGGAAACTTACAGCAACTCTGCAACTGATTATCTTAGAAATTCTCCTGCTACAAGAGAATTCACAGTGGTCTGTGTTAGTATCTGCCTAAAGACTTGTTGAGGTCAGTAAGATCCCAGACATGAATATTTGACAGTTGGTTCAGGGCCTGAAGATTTTGCAGTAGCCCCTTGGGCAAGCCAGGACAGACTAATTAACAAACCTTTGGAAAAATGTGGCAGAAATCTCTCATAATGCTGGACTTAGGACCTACCAGCAGAATTAACGAACAACTCATTCTCATTCAACTCAAAATCCTCATACTGATGTTCTTAGCTTAGTTTACACACCTGAATTGACCAACACCAATAAAAACGGTCTGAGAAACTGGTAGGAGATACTATAAAATTACATATCAAAGGACAATTGACTAGGAGCAGATACTATAAAATTATGTGTCAAAGGAAAGCTGAAATATCATGTCAGCAAGTATGAACATAGGAATCCACTGTAGTTACAGTCCAAAAGGGTGAGTAGTACATTTGCTTCAGACTGAGATATTTTTACCAAATCTCCTTAGAAATAAAAAAAATAAATCAAAGCTAGATTTTTATTTTAAAAAGAAAGGATAAAGTTAATCAGAAGCTTACTGTTCGAGTTCACAAGAGCAACAGTATGTTATAAAAATCAATGCCATCATTTAACCCTTCATATGGTAAGGTTTCAGGCTTTCAGAAAGTTTCCTTTCCTGACCATAAAAATAAAGCAGGAGCTTTCTCATTTTTTTTAGGAGGTATGCTCCACTACAAGGAGGTATTCTTCCTATAATTCTTTTAAATAGAAATCTAATAAAGCAATCCAAGTAGCTGATTAAATGGCTTAGTGTAAACAGAAAACCAGTTTACAGCATCTACTTGGAAATACAATATTTCGTGAGTTGGGAGAAAGAAGTCAGAAAATTATGTTATTATTAGCGTATATACACCAGTAGAAAATCCACCACTGGAATGACTGTCAGAATAAAGCTACACTTGGGGAGGGTGCTTCTAGAAAGCACAGTTTGAGAGATGTTCAAAGAACAGAAGTTTGGAGTCTTGGTAACACTGTCTTGAAAGATTTTCTCAAAACAAAATGCATGTTGACCTCCCACGTGTCATGGCTTATAAATGTGTTAAGATTTTGTTGATTATATTGAAAAAAATAGACAACGTGTATTAGTTAATTATTTATCAGTCTTTTCTTATCAAGGCTGAAAAAAGATTTTTGTCTACAAAATATGGGGTAGATGGAAGAAATTACTAGTGAACATCTAATGAATATTATATAGCACAGAAATGGACTACAGATTAATAGAAGCATCCTCTCCTTCATTAATTGTTCTTTACCCTACGGGGGTGGAGAAGGTTAGGTTATAGCAGCATTATGTCCTCACAATAAAAATACATTTACTCTCCTAGCATCCACTGCAATTGGTTATTCATTATATATAATTTTCTTTATTTTTGAAACTCTTTACCAGCTGTCTGACAAATGCACACTTGAAACATTTTTTTAAACTTTTGGAATCATTTGCATTCAATGGGAAAATTCCGCTAGTAAATTATTATTCATTATTTTTTTTCTGGTGATGGACAAACCTCAGAAGATTGAGAGGACTGTTTCAGACAAATATAACAATATCAGTGTTTATTTACAGTGTTTCAAAAAATCTCTACTGTCATTGTATCCAGGAACCTCCAAATCATCACTATTTTTGGTTTTTTTTTCAATGATGTCCAGCTTTACTTCTGTCCCCTTCTGAGGTTCCTTTACTCTACCAAGCAGGGCAGTGTCTCCTCATGGGTGGCAGGCTACATTTCAGAGGAAATTAATTCATTCTCCAATCCATGTTTCTTTCAGGAGTAACCCACAGAATCTTGATGCAGAGAACAGCCACAAGAAGTACTAGGAAACATTTTCTTCCGTAGTTTGTTTGTTTATTTTTCTTTCCTCTCTTACTCTACTCTGAGTTAAATTTTTCCCAGATACATGTATTGCTCCTTACTGTGGAGATAATAAAAGGAGATTCCTATACCTTAAAACAGGAACATGAAAGGAAGTGCTGCAGGAAGATTTACAGTATCTCCTCAATCTCTTCTTATTTTCACATGGGAAATCCGAAGTAAATAAAAATAAGTA